CTGGCCTTCTAATTCTTTGGGCAGACATATCCTCTTTTTGGGCATGTTTGCCCTTTTTGTCAGGTTACGTGATTTGTGTCAGTGGCCCACCCTTTTACCATGCCCATTGACTTCCTGCTTGACTGGACACTGCTGTTGGGGGTTATGGATTTACTTGAAAGATGAAAACATAAATTAGAGAAAGATTAGCCTAGGGTATGTGTTTTCTTATAGCTGCTGTTTTCTTTCTCTCCAGCACCATCTCCATCAGATACATGATGCTTGGGAGTGTTTTACTTTTTCTGGTCGATATGATTCTGTAATTAGGCCCGTCATAATTGTCAGCACCAGGCCCACTGGGCTCTTAATCTGGCCCTGGTGTTGAGCTGCTGTTTTTAATTTGCATTTCCACTAAGCGCCTATTTACACTGAGCACTTTTTTTCTGTACGATAGGGGTCAAATACTTATTTCACTTATTGACATGCAAATCAATTTATAACTTTTTTGACATGCACTTTTCTGGATTTTCTTGTTGTTGTTGTTATTCTGTCTCTCACTGTGAAAATACACCTACCATTAAATTTATAGACTGACCATTTCTTTGTCAGTGGGCAAACGTTCAAAATCAGCAGGGGATCAAATACTTTTTTCCCTCACTGTATGTAAAAACTAACATTGTATAGGTTAGAAGTTTAAATAATGCTCCTGTATATAGCAAAAATATATATTTAATATAATACATATTTTATACTAATGATAAGATATAATTAGATATTGATTTAATGCTTCCATTTATTTTTATTGAACTGATTTACTACTTTTCCAAAAGGTGCAAGTGGAGAAAATGTGTCCATGCCAGGCTACATCATCGCCATCATTGTCCTGATAGTTGTAACATTGCTTTCCTTGCCAGTAGTGCTATTTATAGTAAGTAACATATTATTGTGTTTTTTTTAGCATGTAATGCTTTTTGGGTAAGTAAGTGCCGGGTTTGGAATGTCCAAAAATCACTAATTTATAGTTAATCAGATACTACTAGTTCTGTAGAATATCACTGCACGAAAAGATAAATTGACTATAACCCAATATAACTAACTGTAACCTAAGTGTCCTTTTAATAATATAAACCCACCCAGTATAACTAAATGTAACCTAACCAATACAGTGCATCTAACGTGTGGGACCCTGGAGTCTCCCTTTAATAATATAAACCCACCCAATATAACTGTAACCTAACCTACACAGTGCATCTAACGTGTGTGGGAGCCTGGAGTGTCCCTTTATTAATATAAACCCACCCAGTATAACTAACTGTAACCTAACCTACACAGTGCACCTAATGTGTGTGGGAGCCTGGAGTGTCCCTGTAATAATATAAACCCACCCAGTATAACTAACTGTAACCTAACCTACATAGTGCACCTAACGTGTGTGGGAGCCTGGAGTGTCCCTTTAATAATATAAACCCACCCAGTATAACTAACTGTAACCCAACCTACACAGTGCATCTAACGTGTGGGAGCCTGGAGTGTCCCTTTAATAATATAAACCCACCCAGTATAACTAACTGTAACCCAACCTATACAGTGCATCTAACGTGTGTGGGAGCCTGGAGTGTCCCTTTAATAATATAAACCCACCCAGTATAACTAACTGTAACCTAACCTACACAGTGCATCTAACGTTTGTGGGAGCCTGGAGTGTCCCTTTACTAATATAAACCCACCCAGCATAACTAACTGTAACCTAACCTACACAGTGCATCTAACCTGTGTGGGGGCCTGGAGTGTTCCTTTAATAATATAAACCCACCCAGTATAACTAACTGTAACCTAACCTACACAGTGCATCTAACGTGTGTGGGAGCCTGGAGTGTCCCTTTAATAATATAAGCCCACCCAGTATAACTAACTGTAACCTAACCTACACAGTGCATCTAACGTGTGTGGGAGCCTGGAGTGTCCCTTTAATAATATAAACCCACCCAGTATAACTAACTGTAACCTAACCTACACTGTGCACCTATCTTGTGTGGGAGCCTGGAGTGTCCCTTTAATAATATAAACCCACCCAGTATAACTAACTGTAACCTAACCTACACAGTGCATCTAACGTATGTGGGAGCCTGGAGTGTCCCTTTAATAATATAAACCCACCAAGTATAACTAACTGTAACCTAACCTACACAGTGCACCTAACGTTTGTGGGAGCCTGGAGTGTCCCTTTAATAATATAAACCCACCAAGTATAACTAACTGTAACCTAACCTACCGAAGTTTACCACAAGAGTCGGATGACACCCGTGCCCGGTGAGGGATCCAGAACCCTTCCCTAAAACCCTCCAGCAGTAAGGCTGCCGCCTTCTTATTTCTATAAAGGTTTAGCCAGCAGCGCATTGCGTCGACATCCACTGGCTTCCTCACCATTTGCGCCCAAGGTGTTCCCCTTGTCACCCTCCTTGCCTCACTTAAAGCACCGGGAAGCGGGGTGGGAACCCCCGCAACCTGAGCATCCGAAGCGGCGGGCGAACTCCTGAGAAATGCTCTTCCCTGTTTTGCTACCAAGATATGATTTGGAATGCAGGTCAGGTCTATGGGGGGATGGGATTGTGGCGGTACGACGAGCAGTTCCGCTAGCGCTTAGTGGGCTGGGACCAGATGGATATTGGGTTCTGGCTGGCTATCATGACTCACCTAGCCTCGTACCAAGGGGGCTTCTCGCCGTTTCTCTGGGGAGCCGGCGTGGGGACTTCACCCGCCGCGTCGGCTGGTCAGCGTAGAGCGGGTTGTTGTTGGCAGTACAGTGAAAGCCAGTGCAAGTTCGGAACTGCTCGTCGTACCGCCACAATCCCAACACCCCGTAGACCCGACATGCATTCCAAATCATATCTTGGTAGAAAAACAGGGAAGAGCATTTCTCGGGAGCCTTTTCCCCTATTACGCTAGCCAGGATAGAAAAAGCCCAAATCCAGTTA